GAGCATTCTTTTCTTGAACCCCTCCCAGCCCTCACTGGCTCTTTTCTCTGGAAGCTTCCCACAGAATCCCTCCCAACTGAGCTCTGAGTGAGCTGAAGTTTGCTCTTCTAAAATCTAGAACCCTTGTCTTGGTGCTAACCTTCAGCATGCTCATGGATGCTCTTGTCTTATTTGGGACAACTGCAAACAGTTTCCAGATACTAGAATAAGAATTAAGCTAAACCCCTAAACCTATATAGGAGTATTCACATGTAAGTTTACACCCAATTAAATAAATCAAATTAAGAATTGATTTAATTAAAGTGGTTTAACTTACATGTATGGTCCAGATGTCTAAATATAAAATGATGCTTCAGTAGTACAGACTAATGCAGAGGAATTGTTGCAAGTTTCAGCTTAGTGGTTGACAAAATAAGATAAAAACCAGAAAACGCAGATACAGTTTAGTATTTAACTAAAAATAATATTTGTGTAGGTGGGCTTGAAACACTAGAAAAAGAAGAGAGACTATGGGCAGAGCATTGCTGGTTTAGGGAATTCCATTCCATTGTTATAATGCTGAATTCCCAACTACAGTTTGAAACTGATTCGAGGAAAGGGAACATAAAATGTTTATGAAGTTATGTTCTATAACATGGTGCACTTTAGAAGTGCTAGCTTGGGAACAAATTTAGGATTTTGTAGAGGTCTTGAAAATCCTATTTCTGCCTTGGATTCCACTTTAGAAATAAATTTTCTAGGGATGTTTTTTTATCACTTTTTTGCCTTAACTTAAAAGTTCTGCTTAAACATTGTAATTGAAGACTAAGACATTGCAGAGGCAGATTTCTCTGCCAAAACAAATTCTAGATGGTCAGTCTCAAGCCTTGCAAAATTGATGCGTTTTGCAAGTTAAGAGCTATGAGCATTGAAATGAAAATTAACAAGATGTTAACTATAATAGAGATTGACCTAACTGTGGTCATGGCTGGTATCTCTACTTTTGTAAGAACTAGGCTTGATTTATCAATCCTTGTCTGAGAAACCATTTGGGTATAGAGGCAGGATCTCTCTCTGGTCCTTGATGAGTTAGTATAGGAGTAGAACTAGCAGGTTCACATATAAATCATGTTTAGTTTTTGGACAGAAGCAAGCTAGCTATAATATACTCATTATTAAGAGCTGAATGCAAATGTGAAATGGATGTGATATGGGACTCTTAAAGATATCCTGGAGAACAGTGGAATGTCATACCATGAGAAAGCCTGGTACTATTGAATACTGCTTTGCAAATGTTCACAGTTTGTCCAACCTGTATCTCATAATACTGTGTTACACTTTTTACAGTTATACAGGCATCATGTCTTTGCCCTAGCTTAGAGTTCTTACACAGTCAGTTGTTCTGCTTATCAAAGATATTTAAATACATTTCATCAATTACGTGTTTTACCGTTCTTTGCATCAAGAAACTGAATAAAACTATAGTAGAGAATCAGGTTTACTCATGCAGATTTTAAAAGCTAGGTATGTGTGTATGCGTTTACAGTCTGCTGAAGTTTATCATCTTAGACTTCTTTAAGGGAGAAGTTCCTGTAGAGAAACTGAGGCACAAATATCTTGAATTTCCTTTAATTTCTGGAAAGCTTCAAAAATATTTATAAGAAATGAGTGGGAGGTATCAGAGATAATGGAAGTCTGATATTTTATTGCTGCAATCTCCTCTAGGCCTTACTTCAAACTCATGATGTAGTGGCACATGAAGTTTACAGTGATGAAGCGCTGAGAGTTACACCTCCTCCCACCTCTCCATACTTAAACGGAGATTCTCCAGAAAGCGCCAACGGCGACATGGATATGGAGAATGTAACACGAGTTCGACTGGTGCAGTTCCAGAAAAACACAGATGAACCAATGGTATGGAGGGAACCTCAGTATTTTTCTTGACTCTGTACTGATAAAGACCAGTTTTATTATTACTTTAATGACAGTTTCTGCACTTTGAAGTAGGCTTGCCAGTATAATTGGAATAGTTCAGCAGCCATTGTAAATACTTATACTCCTGTGTATATCATTAACTTAAAATACTACGCGTGCATGCATACTACTGCTGTACAACTAGAGCTGTGTTTGTTTAAAAACAACCTTGTTGTAGTTATAGCAGATTAGGCTGTAAACCAAACCGGACACTTTGCACTTCAATACAAAATTACATTTTTAACAAACCAGAATCTTATATGCTTATGTATTAAATTATTGCATCTTCACTTATAAATAGCATCTGTTTTCATTGCTCATATTTAAGTGAGTGGCAAAGTTTTTATTTTAACCTTAAAATTTTTACCCTGCCTTCAAGCTTTTAGGAAAAGTGACTGTTCCTAACCACTCAAGAATCACACTGCTTAATGTTTTAAGAGTATAAACATTTCTTTTTGTAGGGAATCACTTTAAAAATGAATGAGCTGAACCATTGCATTGTGGCAAGAATTATGCACGGAGGAATGATTCACCGGCAAGGTAATTATGTGTCATAAATAGTTTTGTCTTCAAACACAATTATGTAGATCATTTTGTACAACCCATGTAACGTTACATTCTCCTCATTTTGATTGCTACTATTGCATAATAGTGTACCTGTGTATCTGGATGGAGTCCTGTTAACTGCCTCTGTTACCTTCCAGTTGCAGATGTCTTCGAACATTTTGAGATGAGGGCCCACTATGTTTCATTTAGGCCTTAATTAGGATAACAGGAGTATAGCTCAGTAAGAGACTAAAATGCCAATGATTTCTGGAGCTCTACTTATTTAATCCTCTGTTTAAAAAAAAAAAAATCCTTAGACTAGTTACAGTACTTTTCCTTGCAAAAATGGAAAAGCTTTGTTCAACAAAAAAATTTAAATTTCTCCATATATTTTCACACAATTCTTGAGGATCTTTGTACTTTTGATGTTGAGGCTCATAAAAACAATTTGTGAAATAAAAATATTTCTTGTGCCTAGAACTTGAATCTTTATTTTCAGTTTTCACTTCTATAGAGCAAACCCTGCAGACATGCATCTTTTCTCATCTCCAGTTTACTCCGTTTTTCTATTTTGTGTGTCCAGATCAGAAGTCAAAAACATAGCTAGGCTTTGTCCTGCTTTAAACAGATAAACTTCCCTGCTAGGTTGTCAGCTGCAAGTTTGGATTGCACCCTTAAAAGAGTTACTTTAGTTTTTCCAGTTTGCCATCTTTTTCTTTTGATGAACACAAAAATTTTCACCATTTGTCAGACCAAAGTTCCTTCTAGCCTACTAGTTCCTTCTATTTCAAAGGAAGCTAGGAACAGGTAATTAGGAAGACAAAACATGAAACAGGGAAAGGGTAAAGCAATCCTTTCCCTGATATATTCGCTTTGTCTCCTTGACATGATCAAAACCGTCAAGAAGCAGGAAAGATGAAACTTTTCATACAAGCAAAGATGCAATTCATATAGACTTCTGTGTTCCTTTAGAGGATGCTCTGAATTGAAATTTATTTGGCTTTTAAAAGTGAATTTTAAAAGGAGATTGCTCCAAGATTTGCAGGAAGAAGGTTTTCATCCAAATGTACTTAGGTAGTGGTGATCTTCTGCAGAGCATTGTTTCACATGACTGTGTTCCATAATGGGGGTAATAAAACTTTTAAAACCAGTTGAAGCTGGGTAAAAAAATCCAGCTATGCCCATTAGTACTCTGTTCTTTTCCATTTAATTATACAGTGTCTTTTATTTCTAAAAATTTTGGAAATTTAACCCATTTTGTATGTGCTTCATCCAACTAAGGTAGCTCTTCTGCACGTAGGTTTAGTTTGAAAATTAACTATACTTCAGTGTTTCTGTAGTATTGTCATCTTTTTTTAAAAAAAATGTTTCTAATTTTGTTAGTTCTCTAGATGCCTCTTAGCTTCACTGCTTTGTTCAAAATACCTATATTTAGAATAGTTTTACTGAATAGAACAACGCAAATGTAAGCTGACAGTGATCTCGAGCACAACATGTCTTTGAATCCTATTGACGGGGTCTGTGGCTTTTATTTGTTTTGGGGGTTTTCTGTGTTGTTGTTTCTGCTGTCTCTTGCTATATGGAAAACTGCCAGGCAATAACAGCAATGACTAGATAATAGATCTACTGGGAGGGTTACAGGAACTATATAATTTCAGGTCTAGCAATATTAAGTACAACTGTGTAATTCCCAATCACAAAATAGTAGCTACTGTGAAGTCTGCCTCCTGTCTCTATGCCAGCTGTATCTAGTCCTGCTGATTATACTCGCCCTTATTCAAAAGGTGGGGAAGTTGAAGTAGGGCGATAGGCTTGTAAAGATGCTATCTACTTGCACCTTCCAGAGGATTGAGCTCAATGAAAATGAAACACCAGTTTCAGTCATTAAAAATTCTGGGGTTTTTGACTTGTCTGCTTTTTTAGAATAAGTAAATGAATTGTATCTTAGATCTCAGGCTTTTAATTATGCCTTGGCTTTCACCTTTGTGTCTATGCCTTAACTTAGCTCAGTTGTCCATTCACTTTTCACCTGTGGATTCTGTTTAGACTACTCATACTGTTAATATTATTTTCAGGGGATCTGCATATAGCCTGAGCAGCTCTCAGTATCTTAACCCATAGGTTTTTTGCTGGTGACTGGTTTTGGGGCATACATGCTTAAATGTGAATTCATTCTTAAAATGCATTTAAGAAGAGGTCCTAATATGGAATTTAAAAAGATTTCCAAAGAAGAGAGAGGACTTATTGGCTGCCTATTTAACCTCACCAGAAAAACAGCAGTTGTACATTGTCTGTACTATATTTTCGAAGTGACTTAATGTAAAACTCACACCAATTTTTAAAACACTGATACCCCTGATAACGTTTATTCAATTCTAACAAAATTTATGTGATTCCTTGGTGAAAATATGATTATACATTCACAGCCTTTCACTTTCCAAGCTACAGAATTTTCTTTTGGCTACAAAACATGTTTCTGAATGGGGACTCCAAGAATTTGTTCTGTCTTCTTCCTAATAGGGTAGGATTTTTCATACTTCTGTGCAGAGCAAGAGCACATACTTCCTAAAACTGTCTTCACTCTGACTTGCAAAGACAAAAAAGGAAAGCATTTATTCCAGAAATACATCCATTCTTTGTTATTACAGATGTGTGATACATCAGTAAGTCATGAATAGCTTAAGTTCTAAATAAACACTGCAATGCCAGTAGAAAAGGAACCAAAAGCAACCAAAATTATATGGTTAAGCATAGGTATCATGGGAGCTATAAATGGTATGGAAGACTCATTATTCAAAGATGTCAAGAATACTCTTTTCCAACAAGAATATTTATAAAGAGTAAAAAGTTTCTGCAAATAATAAAAGCCTCTTCCCTCAGATTGAAAATGTCTTCCTATGGTTTATTAATGCATCAACCCCCCAAAACTGAATGACCATCTACTGCGAAATGTCCATTCTTTATTCCCAATTTTTATGTATACTGCTCCATTCCAGGCATGAATAGAACAATATTCACTTCTGTCAGAGTAACAGAAATGGGAAATGCTCCAGAAGAGGGGATTTTATTTAAATGCACTATTGAAATTATTTGATACAGGGATATTACTGATTCTCATTTTAATATTTAATTCAATCAGATTTATATTTTGAATAATGCTAAAGAATCTTTATACTATTCCAGGGCATATGCTCTTTCTGATTCAGTATTATTGTTTAATAACAATTACACTCACTTCAAACACAATTTAACTTTGGCATGATACAGTCAACACAGCCTCATTTTTTTTTTTTTTTAGAACATTTTTTTAAGAATTGGGTATTGAATGCCTTCCTGAGAAAGTCTGCCAAAACTGAACTTTCAGAGTGTTTCACTAGAGATTTGGTCATTAATATTCTAGATGTGAACTAGATTAATTTGAAATTCAGATGCAGGACTGTTGCATTCACATTCAGTAAACTATTGATTGTGATAATTTTTCCACTGAAGAGTGGAAGAATTGTGATGAGTCCTTTTTTATAATTTCACTATCAGCAGATCAGCTCCTATAGAATTATTTGGAGCATTTAATGTGGCTGAAGAACTCACTCTTGAGAGTACTGAAAGTTTTTGTAAACTTTGGTTTCTCTCCTGTAGCACTGCCAAGTGAACTTCTGTTTCGCAGAAGAGAGCCCAAAGGGAATCATAGCAACAGAGCTTTTCAGGATTCTTCTCCTTGGTTCAGGCTGTGCTTGTGTTTAGCAGGCACACAGTTTGATTTTCATACATTTGTCCATCTGGAAGTTTTGCTTGCATGGTATTCTTTGGAAAAACTGACTATCTTGGTTCAGGAAAGAATTTTAAGGATTTTTCAGGATTCTAGTTGATTGACTTTTTTCAGGTAATTTTCCATAGATATGTTTTAGTTCAGGAAATGGTTGCCAGTTGCTAGTTTTCCAAGTAAGATTAATTATATTAGGTACAGTAATTGTATTAGGTACAGTATTTGGAAAAGGATACTTGCACAAATTATTTAAATCATACAGCAGAAAGAAATATACGTAAAGTAAATGGTCTTGTCATATTTTATTATATATGAAAAGCATCTTCTGGCTAATAATAAACCATGGAAGTTTTTTTGGAGAACTGCTAGAGAATTAGGTGGGCTTGAGCTACTCAAGTCAGAAATTATCATCCAAAAAGAGCCTCCTAGGTTGCTTCTAATCCTGAAGATAATTAATTCATTCACTGCCTTCTCCCTGTTGTGCTTGTTGAGCTTGTGTAGTGTCTTAGAGCCATGTTGTAGCATGCCATTCCCATCCCAGCTTCAGCAGGTTAGTTTGTGACTTGCTTAAGCTAAGTAGATATTTGTTTCATCATCTGATATTGTAGGTAGTCACACCAATCATTTACATTCAAGCTGAAGTCAAGGGTACATACAAAAAATGCATATTGTAACCATGGCAAATCAAAATCAGAGAAATGAAAAATACAGCAATCTGACAGATAAAATTAAGACTATGCCCAGAAGCCAAACTGCATTAAGTAGTCATCTGATAAAATACTGCTTGAATATCTCTGTTGAACGTTTCCAGCTGACTAGTTGCCGGTGACTTTCTTTTCAATGTGTGGGTTTCTGCAGTGTCCTTGTAAGGGACTGATGTTTTCCCTATGTACTTTATAGGGTGCCTGGGCATCTCATGCTGGTCTGTTGACTGCACTCTGAAAGACAGATTCGTAATCTTTGGTAGCTAATACATAGCTACCAAAGTCCTTTTCTGAATGTAGCCAAAAAACTTATTTTAATGTTGTTTCATATTTAGGTTTTTGTATGAATATTAGTACTGTCTTACAATTATCTCAATTTGTAAAAACATGTTTGAGGTGATTGTGTGTTTTGTTAACTCCACAGGTACGCTACATGTAGGGGATGAAATCCGAGAAATAAACGGAATCAGTGTGGCAAATCAAACTGTAGAACAACTACAAAAAATGCTTGTAAGTGCCTGAAATCTTTCTCGTGTTCTTTATAAAAGTGCCTGTCTTATTTTGTCAAAATAACTTTTGTTATTGCATTGTGATTTCCCCTTTTTCTTCTATTCTTGATAACCTACATGTGCAGGTAACACAAAGTCTTCCTGTGTTCAGCTGTTAAAGCCTTCTGCAGGCTCTTCCCTGTTTTTTGATAGTGGCTTTTTTGCACATTATACTCAGGAATGGTATAAGGCACCTCCAGGTGCCATTTTATTTATTCCATCTAGTCCCACGGAAAAGATCACTGACACCCAATGAATCCTGACAGATTTATGTCTGACCAGCTCTTAAAAAAACTTGAGTAATGGAGGTTCCCCAAACTCTCTGAGCAGTTGACTTTAGTGTATAATTCCTCTACGTTCCAGAAAGTTTTTTCTAATGTCTGAGTTTCCATTGTTGAAATGCAGGAGTTTCTTCTCTTGTCTCTAATAGATGTATCAGAAAAAATACTGCTTTCTTCCTATTACTCATCCCAAGTTAGTCTATAAAGACTGTGCCCTTATTTTAAATCTTCAGTCTACACTAAGTGTAGTCACTGAGTATACTATGAGAGAAAAGAAACATGCCTTATACTAATATGCCTATTGGTGTAATTGCTACACAAATACAAAGACAATAAATCATAGAACCATTCAGGTTGGAATTAACCTCAGGAGGTCTCCAGTTCAATCTCCTGCACAAAGCGGAGTCAACATTGAATTCAGCCCAGGTTGCTCAGGGCTTTGTCTGGTTAAGCCTTGAAAATATCCAAGGACAGAGATTTGACAGGACGGGTGCCTCTTTGGGCAACCTGTTCCAACACTTAATTATCATCATGGGGAAAAATGTGTTCCTTATATGTAGCTGGAACATCCCTTCTTTCAATTTCTAACTATTGTGGCTCATGGTTATTGATGTTACAAAGAAAAAAAAAAGATATTTTGAGCTCAGACAGTCCGGCTTTTTGCAGGAAAACTCCATTTTGGGCCTTTCTAGTAGAGTCAGTTTGATATTCCATAACACTTGCAAATTTTTCTGCATGCAACCGTAATATTGGGATCTTGGATGATATAACTATTCCTTTTGTTGTGTCCAGAACTATATAGACAAGCTTAAGCAAGTCCAGGAAAATAGCATTTTCTTGGCTCACAATAAGCCAGCCAAAGAGAGAAAGGAGAAAAACTCCAAGATCGCTTGAAGTTATCTGCTTACCTTTCTGCCCAGATCAAGTCCTGCAGCTGTCAGCCTTTTGGTGGCACTTATATTCAAACTGTCATTTCAGAAAATACGGCTGAGCAAATGTGCCACAATCTGCTGCTATTCTGCAGTTACTAATTGTTATGACTATTCTTATACTATAGTAAATGCAAACTAGCAGACCCATGTTCTGTTCTGATGAAAGACTATTTCTTACATTTCTACCTTTAGTAGAGTAACATGCAGCTTTCCAGAAACTGTGAATATGCTTTTGCCATTTGACATGTATGATGAAAGGAAAGAAAATATCTCTTTAGTAGCAAAGACTATGTGGGTCACAGTATAGCTAGAAAGAAAAGACTGACATGGAAGAAACTTACACATCTGTGAATTCCTCACCTTAAAATATAGCTGTAGGTTCTAGGCATTCAAAAGCTGGTCAGGCGAACAAACTAATAATGTATGTTTATCTTTTAGATTAATGAGAGATGATCTAAATGTTTGTTTCTAAGTGAAATGACAAATAAGCCATAGCATTTTAGGTTTTTTGAATATTTACTTCAGGAAAACATACTGCTGCTCTCAAACTAGGGTGCTTTCCCTTCAAGCATTACTGATTTGGAGATTTAATCTTCACTGTCTTAGTCTTTAAAGAAGTGCTTCTCTTTTTGCAGAGGGAAATGCGTGGAAGTATCACCTTTAAGATTGTGCCAAGTTATCGCACGCAATCTTCATCCTGTGAGGTAATGAATTTAATGAACCATCCCATTTCTTCCTCAGTCCTGTAACTAACTGCCTGCTGATGGCTGAATGTTACTGCTTTCTGGGAAATTGTTTCTGCCTGTCCTGTTAGATCACGCACACCAATTTTACAACAAAGATAACGGAACACGAGTAGGTCCCACCTACCTACTCAGCCTTGCCTTCATATTCATCTCATCAGCTCCTTTAGTAACTCTTTACAGCCTATTTAAAAAAAAAAAAAAAAAAAAAAAAAAAAAAAAAAAAAAAAAAAAAGGGAAAGGGGATCCTCAACTCATGCATTTAGGAAGCCCCTTTTAAAAAAATTACAATTTAAACTCATTTTTCAAGAAGTCTATTAAAGTTCCTAAGCTGAGGAACAATCCTTCGTTTTTAGGCATTAAACATTATTTTACTGCTTTGGGCTGTTAAGGGTTAATTGAAGAATCTGTTTCTGTATAACCCTGTTGAGGTAAATTTGTGATGGTTGTCTGTAACAGTTACACATGGCTTAATATGATGTTTCCATGAAAAAAAGGTATTTGTCATTACAGAAGAAAAACAGATTTGCAGTTAGTTCTTGTTGAACTAGAAAATTGGTATTATGGTTTTTGCACAGTAACGTTTAATTCCCTTCTGCTCACAAAGTTATGTTCCAGATTGCAACTGAGGGGAATTAAATTCTAGAAAATGGCTACTTGAGAGATACTGTTCCAATTTAAGCATAGAGATGGCATATGCACTATGTAGATGATGGCAGTCTTTCTGTGCCACATGCTTAACTGCGCAAACAGTTCCCAAATTAGAATTCCAAGAGTGAAATCACAATCCCTGTTGAAGTCAAGCACCTTATCTTAATTAGAGCTGTGATTTCACCCTAATTGTTTTTGTGTCTCAGCAGATGCTAGAACACACAGAAACTGCTATTGCGATTGTCAGAACAATCTGTTTGAAAGAAAAAAATTACTGCTTTTTGGTTGCCTTCTGCATTTTTAATAGAAGTCAACAAGAACTAAAAGGTTTTAGAGGTAGAAGATTTGACAAATTTTCACCTATGAGGCCAATTTTCTTAAAAGGTATAAATCTGAAAGCAAAAGTTTTTCATGAGATGCAAAGGCTTTAAAAAAAAATCTCAAACAGAAATTCTACAGTGTGCTGACAAATTTATGTATTGACTTCTGTGCTGTAAATAGCAGTAATAATAAAAGATATCCCACTTCCCAGTATTAAAATACAGAAATTGGTGAAACTGTATACCTGCTGGGAAGATTATTATTTGGGGAAAATAATTTGGCATGCAGCTTTAAATTAATACCATTAGGTGTCATTTTAGTAGTAGGAGGTCATCTCTTTTCCTTAGCTTTGTGTCCTTAGGTTCTTCATGACTATTTATTTCATGGAAGAGAGGAAAATGGGCTCTTACCTTCCTTTGGAAAAAACAGCAAAACTAGAAACGTGTGATCAAAGACAGAGGAAAAAAAATAAGCATGTCTAATTATCACACTTTGTGGCATTTAGAATTCATTTAATCGGAGGTGGCTGAGTCTGTTCCACCTGCTTGGCCACACTATGACTTTGGCTAGATTTTCAACTATTACAAAAAGCCAACGTTTTTAAATTATCCTATTAAAGCATCACTAGTCCTTAGGTAGAGAGGATTGTTTTCACAGAATTTTTCAGGATTGTGATTCAGATGATGAATCAAATTCTTAACCATTGATAAAGGCTAAAAATGAATGTTGAATGACATTAATAAGACACAAAAAGCTTGCTTCTAATGCTCTCTAGCAGGATGAATTCAGAGATATTGGGTCTTCACTAGTATAATCTTACTAGTTAAGGTATTTTTTGGCAATATTTCGGTATAAATTTATGTTTGGTTCCCCCCCTCCCTTCAGTCATGGACTGGTGCTCATGTAGTATAGTTTTAGCAGAAAAGGAATATAAAACAGAATTGATAATTGGGGGTTTTTTGAGACTCCTACCATGATCATATCATTGGATTGCAAAACACCTTGTAATCTTGAATAAGAAAAACTAAATATTAGTAGAATCAGAGGTGATCTGCCTTTTGTATAGAATCTGTCTATATGCCTTTGTATACAAAGGTGAGGGAGGCGTGGGATGTTATTTTTTTAAATAACTGAGATTTGCATTTCACTTGCCACATTTTTCTTCTTTTGTAGGTATTTAAGAGAGGTGTTGTAGTCGTGTTTCCTAAATATTAAGCCACTTTTGCATATTTAGGGAAGTCTTGTCCCTATAGTATGTAATGGTACTTCAGTGTCACTAGGCAGTTTCCAAAATCTCAATTTAGTGATTTCAAGTTTCTTCGGGATTTGTGGCTTTTCCTGCACCCAAGCCTTCCATTCAGTTACCAGGCCTTTTATTTCATGGAGTAGACTTGAAATCATAATACTTATGAATTCTCTTGTATAAAAATTTGATCAGCTGATCTACCGTGAGATGACCTGTTTCATCATTCGTGTGGCAAATGGCCTGAGTTACTCGCATGTCTAGATAACGCAATGGCCAGGATGTGTTTTCTGCTTCAGATATCCAGGAAATTACAGACTTACATAAATATGAACTTAAGTAATTATTGCAACACATTCTTATGGCTGATGACTGCATATGCTGTTTATGCATTTCAGTTTTATCCAACTGAGTAAGCATTTTGCTTTAGCTACATTTGCATTCTTACTTCGTACTGACAAAACACCCTGAGTAACTTTTTATAGTGTCAGATATATGGGAATGGAAAGGGAAGTACTTTTTTTTTTTTTTTTTTAACCAAAAAACTTTCCTTATGAACATTCTTTATGTTTCAGATTGTCTTTGTGAAATGCTTACGTTGTTTCATTAAGAAAAGTGTTTTATTTATTTACTTACTTACTTACGTATTTATTTTAAGTCTGGTGGTAATCACCATGGATTTTTTCCTTTAGTCTTGCAATGTTTCCGTTAGTGCTCAGACTATAAGACTTTTTATAGTCTTGAACCTTTTTTACATTTGTATTAAAAATACTGCCAGAAAGATTCCTTGAGCAAGATTGAAATTTAAATTTATTTTCAGGTATTTGGAAAGTGTCTCTCTTTTTTTTTTTTTTTTTTTGATCTGGCAACAGTGTCATTAATCTAGCTGTTCTTGTCAGTATCTAATTTGATCAGGCCACATCTAGTAGACATAGTTGACTTCTGCTATAGGATTGCATCTCACATGCATTTATTTATCATTCATAATCCACACCTAAGAACAAGGAATCAATGGGAAACTAGTTTTGCCATCATTTGGAAATAATTGTGATTGTTTCCTCTAAGGCTTCAGCTGTGGTGCTTGAACTGAAAAGGAAGATCCGAAAGACTGCCATTTTGTTATTTGGCTTGGGGCTAGACAAGATTGGGAAGTCTAGATAGTCAAGTTATACTGAAATATGATGATAACACTTCTACACTACTCAGAATCATTGGATCCTCCAAGTGATTTTCTGCTCTTATCCCCAGAAGAACTAAGGCTTTTTCTGATTTACTGGAGAAACAAATTCACAACCAAAGCTGAAATTTTCCAGTCCAGTTCTAAGCAGTCCTAGCATTCTACAAGGATCTCTCTACTCATTGATTTGTCTCATTAGACTGTGAATAATACAGTTTTTCTCTTAACTTTTGAGTCTGATATTTCTAAATGCCTTTGAAATTGTGGCTGACCTGCTAAATTATTTAAAAATTGTACATATGCCTCTTGACTAGCTTGATAGATTAATTTCTTACAGTTAGTACTGAAATCACCAACAGCACTGAAAATGTGTATTTTCCTCAGTATGTTATGATGAACATTTGCTTTGAGTAATATGCTGTCTTCTGTTGAGAATTGTTGGAGGAATACAAATCAAAACATTCTCAAACCAAGAAAATTTCCTTCAAAGGGAGAAGCCTTCAAGAGAGGCCGGAAATAGCGGCATTCTCCAAGTTACTCTAAACTTGTTTTTCTCCAGATGACTTGGGTGCTTGCATCACTTTCCAAAGCTTTCCCCTGCTAAACCATCACTGACTAGCACATCATAACAAACCAGGTTTAAAAGAGAAAAAGAAAAAAAAGGTAAAATTAATTTTTCACCTCTTCTTGAAGGTGAGAAATTGGCAGAGACAGAATTGCAGAGCAAGCAGAGAATGTCTTTATAAAAAAAGGAATTCACTGCTTTTTTCCAAAAAAGCATCTCCTAGCTGCTATGTGATAAAGGTGATATTGATAATCCCGTACACAGAAAAAAAAAAAAAGGAATAATGGTTCCTTTAGGCTTTTCTTTTTTCTATTTTTTTTTCCCAGTAATGAATAGCTTATTTGGTCTCATTTGACCATTTTAAACTTGTTATGCTGGAGTGAGTTTGTAAATAGAAATAGAGCTGATTTCCCCCAGTCTACTACATGTTGCAAATAGTTGTGGGAGCCAAATGAGCATTTTGTTCTCATGCATGTAGCAGAAGTATACAGACCTACATACTTTGAACCACAATGACTTTACAGCCATAATATTGTCAGATCTGTCCTCAACTGTGTTAAAATCAAAACAAGCATCTAGATAGCAACACATGGAACTTTCTGTGAACTCCTATCTAAGAAGTCCACAAAACAGCGCAGAAGTTCTACACGAGTTTGTTGCACATCACGTGTGCAGGCAGCAAGAGTGGTAAAGTATTGCCTGTCATTTTAACTTTTCTTGGTGCTTTTAAATAGCTGTGAGTGCTATCACATAATTAGTATAAGTTCAAGGATATTAGTAGAGGACCTTTACCTGATTAATGTTGTTGCATGAGCAGTTTAGCTCCAATTCTGGTTTTTAATTTGTTCACAGAGGACACTTGTATTGATAAAATGTGTCAAGGATAACTTTTTTTTGTTTGAAAACTGTTTTAGCCTTTTTTTTTCTGCTATCCTTGATATTATGCAAAATTACCAGACATTGCTAAATTGACCTTTGACAAGGAATATTATATTCCAAAATTCCTTTGGGGTTAAAGGAGATTTTTTTTTTTTTTCCCCACAACATATGATTGAATTATTTTATTTCCTGAAGAGGTGGCTCAATTATCTGATCTTATGGAATTAAGTACTATGCAATCAAAAGGGCATGTGAAAAAGATTGTCCTACAAGTGACTTTCTTGCCTCTGCAAAACCCAGTCAGAAATTCCTGTTACCCTTTCTGTAGAGTTTCCCAGTATGCACCCTGCGTCTGCTGTCTCCTCGCTGAAGTGCAGGACCACGCTGGTAGTCTGAGTGAAGAGAGGTGGCTTTTTTAAAGTGATATATTTGGGCAAAGTTTAATGTTTTTAAGCCTATAAGAATGTTGGAGGAAAAAAAACCTCAGTATGCTGTAAAATGGATGAGGAGGGAGAAGAGAGCATCCAACTTCCTTCTCATGTGTTAGCTTCAGTGTCTTTGAGACACTGCAGAGAGATGCATCTTACAGAGTAGAAACTGATCAACACTGACCTCCACCACATTGCTGAAAAAAGATTTAGAAGCGTCTTTAAAATGGAGTGTGTGCCTCATTCTATTCAAAGTATTATTCAGCATATAACTTTCAGGTAATTACCTTTAACAAAGACGCCAGTATGACTAATGGCCTTTAGCACTGTCAGCCACGTGAGATCTAAGAGGTCCCAGATACTCAGTAATTAAAAAGCTGTTTGATTGCTAAGGCAATATAAAAATAGTTATTACCTAGGATGCATCAAAATGTCAAACCTGAATCTTAAACTATGAAAAAAGTTTTCAGATTTATGGAGTTTGTAGTGTGGAAGCTTTCACAGATGAAGCAGCTAAGCAAATGGTTGTAAAGCTGTGGATGTAACTGTTCTTTTAAATATATCTGTGTTCCTGTGATAGTGTTGTGTTGTTAATGAACCTTGTGTCTTATTTCAGAGAGATTCCCCCTCTACATCCAGACAGTCCCCAGCTAATGGTCATAGCAGCACTAACAATTCTGTTTCGGTAAGATTTCCAGTTCCACACAGAGAAAGTGTGAAAGTTTTGTTGGTGCTCATCTGCCATTACTGTTATACTTATCGTGTGGTCAGTGGAAAATTTTGTCCTGCTGATAGAACCAAGGTTATTACACATGTAACTCCCCGTTTTCTTTTTTTAAGGGTTTTTTCCAACATATTCTTTTCATTAAAGCCATATAGTGAGTTAAATGTTAATAACTGTAATGTGACACTTCAGTCATCCTTAAATCATTGTTAGCAGTTTCCTCAAAACTAAACAAAGGTTTAAAGTGGAAGTTTTATTTCCATCCTGAACTTTGGAAGCAGTGTTTGAAGAAAGAATAACTGTGCAGTTGGTATTTCAAGACATTTTAGATTCTTTTAAGTTTTGTGTTTTGAGAGACCTCTGGAACGTGTACTGGTTTCCGCTATCTGAGTTCACGAATTGGTGTGCCCTCTGCTGTTGTGGTACGTGCACATACTTTGTGAAATATGAGCCTTGCCTGGATATGAAAAGCAAAAGGAAGTGGCTTTAAACTGCACTACAAACCAAGCTATTATCATCACATCTTTAACACAAAGTACTTCTGTTTCGTATGTATTCAGGTAGAAAGGTCAATCGCCTGTTTTTCTAAAGTGCATTAATGTTAAAATTTGTGTCGTTTATCATTTGTCGTTGTTTGGACCAATGTAGTAACTGTACACACAAGTTCCTTCAGTAAGAGTGCTGTCAGTATCATGAGTTCATGGGACTAGCTAAAAAAAACCCCAAAACTGAGTAACTACTCCTTTAACTATTAAAAAAATTACAACTCTAGAAATTATTTGCCACAAGGTAAAGTTCTTATTAATTAATACAATGAAAAATAATTGTGGATGAAAAATTTAAGAAATTTTTGTGAATTAAATTGAATTTGTTACACGATTAGTTGATATAATTTTATTCCTCAGCACAATTATACATTTTTAATAATAATTTTTTTAATGTTTATAATAGTCATCCTTCTCTTTTAAAAACAAGACTAAGTATGAAGTGGAAAAGGCGTTCACATAAAGAGCCTCTTTCACTTGACGGTGCTTTTGTGTTGAAGATGTTGAATTATTTATTAAAAGGCACATTCTTTATCTGCTTAAACTTTTTACCTGCTTTCTTCAGCTTGCTGCTAAACAGCCTGGGTTTGATTTTCCTTTAAGAAAAAAAATATTTCTAAACATGGGTCAATGCTTTATACTTTTGTCTGACTTACCATTTTATTGTAATGTAGTATGAATCACTAATAAATGGTGTTGTATGCCCTTAAAAAGTAAAATGAAAATTTCTTCTCCTGGGTTGACTTTATTCTGCAGGACTTGCCATCGACAACACAACCAAAAGGACGACAGGTGAATAGATATCCTCCATGGGAATTTTTGTAAACTTAGCTGCTAGTGAACATCCCTGCTTATCTTTTTCCCCCTCATATTCTGTATGTGCTGGACTAAAACATTTAAGCTTGGAAAATTTGTTCCATTTTTTTCATTTTTCTTTTTAACTCATTTGTTTGTGGCTAATTCAAAATAGCATTTTTTTCATGTATCCATACGTGTGAGAGTAACAAAGTCATTGTAAATTTAACTGGAGATGTTGTTTTAGTTCAGAATGCATTAATAGGCTTATTGTTGTGCAGTGACCTGTGCAGATTTTCATCTTGGAGGAAAGCTCAAATTTATAATTTAGCTGAAATGGAGACAAGTATGGCAAGTGTCTAACACTCTAAAACATTGTACTGACAAAGATTCTAAAGCTTGAGTTGGTCTCTAACTAATTAACATTAAGAAAGCTCTTCAAAGAAAAACAATAAGGACAGTTTCTATTAAGAATTGATAAGTCTGAAGATAGCCTCTTTTTTTTTTTTTCAGTCCCAGATTCAGTCACCTCCCTTAACTTTGTTACCTTGACGGTAGTACGTGTTGTCGTGGACCAAAGAAAGATCTTCCTTCTCCAGAGAATTCCAAGAAAGCCCTTAAGGGCTCTGCAGAGGATTCCCTATGATTCCCCTTGCAGTTTTAAGAATTTTTTTTTTTTTTTTACTGCAGCCTCCAAATCAACACATACCATCAAGTGATTTGTGATTCAGCTTCAGTAACTGCTCCATTTATATATAGCCCTTTCAGAATCTGCCTCTGAATCTTAACCATGGACTCAACCTCTTACTCTACCAAGGGTTTTAATAATAACTTGCAGTTCCCTTCAGAAGAGTCAATGGACTCCATGACCTGTTGTCTTTGACAATCTTTTTATACGACTGTCTGGTTAAGTTGGCTGGAATATCTATTACAAGGGTGGACTACTCTCAATTCATTTCCCATTTCTAAAGTTTACAGCTATATGGTTCTTTCAGCTTTCTGTTGTCTTCTGAAGTTTCCAGCTGCCTGAATGTCGTCCTGGAAGGGCTCCATAAAAGACCTTCCAAGCTGTTGTGCTACATTTTGGTTTTCCTCTCCTAAGGTATTTTTCCCAAGAGAAGAGAGTTTGTTCGAGGCAGTATCAGAATAATGGTGTTCCTCGTACTCACACCATTTATAGTTACGTGTTTTTTTCAAGAGTCTTTTCCCATTGAACCAGCATATTTTTCTGGTAACTTGTCATCCTTGAAGACTGTAAGGGCTTGGTTAGCAGATGCATTGCTATCTGTAAGGAAGTCTGTAACATTCCATGAGCAGCTAATATATGGTGGATAATGGCTCAAACTGGAGGAGGGACTTGAAAAGCAAGAAAGTTTCTAGGTGGTAAAAATACTGCTCACTATTCTAGATCTATGTTAGGTAAGGTTGAGGGGAAATAAGGGATTCATTTGATACTGATTACTTCAGAGAAAGCCAATTACTAAATAAACGTAGTTAGTTTCAAATTATCCTGTTTTTCAGGTGATTAAAAGAAGTTGGGTTGCTTGTCTAAACTCACACACTCAATGCACAGCAGAACAAGGGTCAGATTTAGTGTATTAAAAGTTGAGTTCTATATTGGTATTATCATCTAATGCTCTCACTGTAAACAGATAAAAATGCACCAGGTACAAGATAGCAGTGATTAGCCATTTTAAGTTAATTTATTCATATTTTGGGTTGCAGATTGGATTACTATAGAAATGAACTTTTTAAAGTGCCATGAATAGTGCTAACACTGCATAATTACAGCTATTTTTGGAGCAGAATTTGAGTAAAGTTGAAAAGCGTTTGTTACAGTTTAAATGAAGGCTATTACTTCACAATGTAATTTTTTTTTTTAAATCTAGTCAATTTTTAGTAAGAAAATCAGTAGTAGAATATACATGGCTGTCTGAAATGCTATAGGGTGATGTTTGAAGTTCATAAACTGTAGAAATTACCCATCTTGGACATGACATTTAATTCCGATTTTAAGATCCTTGGATGCATCAGGGCTGCAATTAGCAACCAAAACTGGCGATCACTTTTATTTCTGTTTTTCTAGGGTTGAGACCTCAGTAACCCACAAAGCAAGGATCAGTATATTATTTTAAATTGTGAAGTTAGAATCTGAATTCTTTCTGTTAATGTTCCTTAAAGAATAACTTACTCAAATCATTAGTTTTCATCAATTCAGGAGTAGACTTTTACTGGAAAACCCATGCAGAGAATTCCCAGATTCCTTCTAAGTAACTATATATGATAGGTGCAACGCAGGACTTCCTATTTAATCTAAAAAAAAAAAGACTAAATTTTCAGTCTAAATACTAAACAGCAGTAAGGTAGCCAAGTCCTTTATACTGTCCAATAAAATTTCCTGTCATACAAATTTTTGAAACGTATCATGGGACTTCAGTTGGAAAGTGCAGTACAGTTCAAGTTGTAAGCTGCTGGCTTTTAGTCTGTAATGATTCATGACAGTTAATATTGATTTGAGGGACTCTCATTGCTGTTCAGGTTTTACAGTATGTAGAAGATATGAGCTTTCAGAATAACATCATATGTCTCCATTGTTTGCTGGGTTTTTTTTTTCTGTTTCATTTTCAACTATCACTTATGCTTTTGCCATTCTGTTTCTTCCTTTGCTTGTTGCAAACAGTATGTGTAGCTACATGCACAGATCAAATTTTCACCTGTAATTCTTAATACTGTACCAGTAATAATATTGCCGTGTCTTTTATAAACTATTTTTTATAGATATATGTAAGAGCACAATTTGAATATGATCCAGCAAAGGATGACCTCATTCCTTGCAAAGAAGCTGGCATCAGATTCCGAGTTGGTGATATTATCCAAATCATTAGCAAAGATGATCACAACTGGTGGCAGGGTAAACTTGAGAACTCCAAAAATGGTACTGCAGGTCTTATTCCTTCTCCTGAACTTCAAGAATGGTATGACTTAAGTTTTCTATAGAAATGAATTTACCTTTGCTTTTATTTCTGTCTTTCACGCTTTTCATTGTTGTATAGCTGGTTTTTGTATAATTTTTTCTTTTTTCAAAAAAAAAAAAGTCTATATATTGCCTCAGTTTGTGTGGCATTGATTTTTTTTTTTCTCGTATATGCATAGGAGTAAGGGTTGCATGCAATATCATATGTGTGGTTACATTAGAAAAATAAACACCTGTGTTGGTAAATATTGTTTGTGCTTTCTGGTACACTATAGGAAACCAGCATTGAAGGCTCCATACAAATTGTTTATGTAGGAGGGCAAATTTCTCTTTTAGGTTCTAAACAGTGTTTTCATTAGTGCTGCTTGCATGCAAGTGCTGCACGAATAAGGTGTTAGCAAGACGTCAAGCACAAAGGTCATTGAGGGAGTTTTGGGGTTTTCTCTCCTTTTCATTTTCCATGTGAAAGCCAAAAAGTAGAAAGAAATCACAGTGCAAAGATTCCCGAATGACAGATTCAATGAACAACAATGGCACTGAGTACCACAAAAGCAATGCAGAGCCTTTAACCTTTTGCAGAAGCTGTTTAGTAAATATTTTAAATGTATCAGCACAAACTCTGGCAAGCAGGTCCTGGGCCATGAAAGTTATGACCATAACTCAAGGAAGTTTATCAATATGGATAATCTAGCCCAAAATATTTCATACAAGATTTGCTACATAAAAGAACTAGAGTGCTGTAAAGGGTTTAACAGCACCTGTGCCACCTGGAGTGACTAAGGAAGATTTTGCTAGAAGAGAAACAGAGGTAGACAAGACATTTCATTCCATCTCAAGAGCTCCCTTGCAAGCCCTGACATAAGGGAGACGCTGGTATCCCTTGCAACGGGAACACTTGCAATACTTCATCCTAAAGATCAACCTCAAAACAGTTCCACAGCAGAACACAACTTGCTCTGAAGTAATTTAGACCATAGTGGTCTTTTCAGACCTCATGCTTTTCCAGTCTAATCCACTGCAAAATGGTCTACAGCCATTTTAGTAGCTACCCTTCCTCCCACGCTCACTTGATCTGTGGGCTTTAATGATCTACCACTATGAAGATATTCTTCGTATCAAAATACCTCTGTATATAAGTGCTTTTAAGTCATCAAGAAAAAGGTTTTGAAAAGTTTTACTGTACTCTTGTACTATTAAAAAGTCTTATTTTTCTGATTCATTCTGTGCGGCTTTTTAAAAATACATTGATTACAAAAAAAAAATTTTTTCTCCTCCATATGCCAGGCGAGTTGCTTGTATTGCCATGGAGAAGACCAAACAGGAGCAACAGGCCAGCTGTACTTGGTTTGGAAAGAAAAAAAAGCAGTACAAAGACAAATATTTGGCAAAGCACAATGCAGGTATGAAAAAAAAAAAAAGCAAGTATCTTTAACAGGTTAGTTTTTTTACAATCTAAACCTTGCCATTAATTGTTCAGCTGGCACTGTTATATAAACCTAATGAGTTACTTAGGAAAATATAAGTGAAGTTCTAATTATGCCAACATTACTCTGCTTGTTCTTTGCTATTTAAACATATAGCTTAATCAGTGAGAAGCACGCTGCAACAAAATAAATGCATCGTAATATATCCTAATATAGGCTGAGATTGGTTTGGTTTTTATATTTAAAGGAGCACTAGAAACCAACATTATATGAATTTTGCAATCTATGTAACTGTCCTGTGCTCTACAGAAGACTTTTCAGTAGCATCCTTGCTAATATGTGTCTATAGTTATATATGCGAAAACATCATGAAAGGGCATTTTTCTTGAAGCGTTACAGCTGGAGGTGGAATAAGAGCCATTGCATAGTCAGTGTGTTATTTACAGTTACCAAATAGAACAAACTGTGGAAGTTTATCCTCCTTGAAGTGAATTTCTGCCTGAATCCTAAGTTTTGGGTTTCTATTTAGACTGCTGAAAAATTGAATTGTTTTAGAAAGTTTTGAAAGTAGAAGTGTAGAGTAAGAGATCCTTGCTGAGCAAAATTCATTAGTCTTAGCAGTAAAGGTGGAAGACCCCTTCGTTCATGAGTGGAATTTACTTCTTTTCTTCTTTTAATATAAAATACTCAATGTGTTGAAACTGTTTCTATTGCTTTTGCATTAATATCACATACTGTGATGGTAAATATGTTGTTGTGGTCTCTTGGGGACACACAGAGATTTTTATTAGAATTAAAAGATATACCTGTCCAAACAGGGTAATGACAGTATTTTAGATATTGCATTAACTTCTGGGGTTTTTTTCAGTTGCATTCTTGAATGCACCAATTAAACAATATAAATCTGTATTTTCACATTTTTCCTTACCTGTACAATCTGTGTGCAGTATCAGAGTTCATAATATATCAGTACTACAGAATTTATGTTTACTAAAAAGTCATTTGAAAATAAAATCTAAGAGAGTCAAAGAACAGTAATTGTCATTTATACTCCTTAGTTCACCATCATATTTAAGATTTTTACAGCTAAGTATAAAATTAGCCTGTAAACCCTTAGAAGTAGAGATTGAAAACTTTAACTTGTTTCCTTCCTTTTGCTGGTTTTACTAATTACGACCTTAACAAAAACTGTTGAGAATAAACTGGATTTTATGACCTTAAGTCTTCGACAATACTGGTTTTAGTTTTATCAGTTTAGTTTATCAGTTGTTCCCAGCATACATTCCCACAGCATTGCTGCTCCCTGCAGTTGTGCCACTGTAACTTTGCATGGCCATGCTGTTAACTGGGTTAACTGAAGAACAACCCGACAAAAAACATTGGCTCTTTTTCTTTAGGGCAGTTACATTTCTTAATACAGTTCACAGTGCAGTTACATAGTAATGTCAGCGTGACTAAGCGCAGCAAGCTACAAAGGAATAAGCAAAGGAAAGAGGATAGCCAGGGAAGGAGAAGGAGCAGGCAATACTTCAGGAGCAAAACTAGCTCAGAGACTGTATCAGTTAAATCCCGGAAAGGAAGGCAATCTAGACTTTCCTGTCTTGATGTAGGGGAGACATTTTGGAGAAGGTTGACAGCACTTTGAGTCGCACAGTTTGCCTGCCTTAGCGCTTGCCACCATCAGTGCTGTTAGTCACTTTACATCAGAGCACAGTGTTTGCCAAAAATGAGAAACATGAACATTAAAAATTATCAAAATGACCATAAAAGAAACTGTTCTTTTCCGAATACCATCTGACACTTCCCCCTAAGAAGTTAAAAAGTTAATGAAAACGCAGATTGGAATCAAGATTTCTCTTTGAAATGTTTATTGATCTTAGCGTGCTTGAGGTATTAAAGGTGATGCCAGTAATACTGCAGGGAATGATGCTAAATGTAGGATGTAAAGAGATGCACTGAAATCCTATGGTGCTCGCATGAGTTTAAGTTTAACTAAGGGGGCACTGAATTTACCTTCTCTGAACTACTCTCTCACATCTGGTATTGTTAGTCAGAAATATGGCAACACTGGCTTTTGCAAGCTTTCAGTGCATCTGTCTCAGAATAAAAACCAAATCTTTTCTTCTGTTGGATCCAAAATAAGTATAATTAATTTGGAACTGAGGAGTCTAATCCGGATGTCAAAATGTTGCTCTTATGAGGAAGCAGACTTTATTTCTCTTATATCCTAGTATAAAATTCAATAAATCATTTAGCAGTATGTAATGTATTTGGGCTTCCCTGTTATTTTTGTCTTAGCGATGAGACTGAACTGGAGTGCTGAGAAATAACCTAGTAAAATACTTCATAGTCAGCTAAGATTTGTGTGGCTAGCTAATGATTTGAGAGCTAAGATTTTGGTGTGATATATTGGGATATTACTGGAACTAGAAATGAAATTATTCTGCAAATCAGACATAGTTTATGAAGAGGAGAATATTTCAGTTACTTTTTATAATTAAAAGCAAATATATTCTCTTTTACAAGAAAAGTATCATCCCATTTTTCTTTTCTCCATACTTAATATTAGAGTATTGTGTCCTCCAAGAGACAGTTTCGTGATGATACATCTTATCATTGTAAAGTGAGTTTTAGACCAAAGCCCACAGAAAAAATTAAATATTTTCATTATTAGGTTCACTGTCATTTTTATAAATGCTCTAGAGATATACTGCAGTGATATATAGATATATTTTTTATTTATTTTACTGAGATGTTATTGCAGGACTTCATAAAAGAACACTCTTCTGAACATACTAGAACTATGCTTCATATTATGCATAATGTAGAAAATTGCCAAGCTTTTATAAAATATGTTTATCATTTCTTAATGTGATTTATTTGCCTTGTGTTTAGACTATTGCATGATAAAGTTTATTTTGTGCATATACTTTTTATTTTACTAATATATTACGAGCCATATCTCAATGACCCCTGTACATTTTTCATGCTGTCTTACTCCCAATGGCCTCTGTGCATGTAAGTAACCTGTCAAGTGACAATGCCTCTTTATTTGCTTCTTACTGTTTCCTTTCAAGAACTCCCTTTCTTTATTAGCTAGTAACACAGAAGCATTAAAGTTCAGTCTTTAAATGTGCCCTGTATTCCTCATATCTTGTGTATATTAAAAAATTAATCATTTTTCTTTTGCATTGGAAAACCCTACAATCATTAGTTAACTCCATGTAGACTGAGACACATCTTCTCCATGCTGCTAGTTTGTGATGAAGGCATTAATATGTATCATTTCTGTTGTCTGTTCCTGTTGTTTGTATCTAACATAGTGTGGTTTTGTTCAAGAAGAAAATAAAGGATTGATTTTTTTTTTTTACTGTTTTTTAATGGGAAAAGATACTTGCCAGCCTAGACGGTTAGACTGGTAAAACTGTTTAACATGTTGTAGATCTTTAGCCCTTTCTAATATGAAATGAATTATTAATTAGTTTAAATAGTGTGAAGGTGCAAAAAGGACAGTAGTAAGAATTCCATGTTTGTAGGTTTGCGGAATGGAAGAAAAATATGACTAAATTCTTGCTTGTAATATTTGGGGAAAGGTTGAAAGAGATTCTTCTTTAGGATGAAATTCAAAATGCTTCAAATGGACTAGTAAGTTTTCATATCTGTATCCTGTCAAGGTCTTAAAGAGTTGAGTATGTCAATTGACTAGTTTGTAGTTTGGCCAAATTGAAGTAGTTTTATTTTTTCTCTAGGGTAAAAAGACTGCCATTGAAATGAAAAAACTGCCCTGTAAAAAGACATATATTAAGTTAAATCCTTTGCTGCTTTAACTGAGACTTTAGTACAAAGAGCTTTCTGGTAGGCTCCACGGTCTTAATGCTGATTTTGGTGGCTGGGGACTTCTAGAGCAAGCAAGCTAAAGCTCCCGCCACTGCCTGCTTTCCTGAGGGGTTTTGGGTAGGGGGAGAGGGATATATCCAGACTCATCCTAAAAGATGGATGGGATATAGTTGAGGTGAATACACCAGTTTAGGACCTGGAAACACTCAAAGCAGCTCATACTTCGTATGCAGTCTCTCCTTCCTTCTTTTTATAGCACACATAAATACAGAACTGAAAACTCTTGTTCATTATTCTGCTCACAATTGCTGATTTGTGTAATCTTTATAAATACAATTAACTGCCTCCTGGCTTCTTTTTTCATTAGAATTCTGCAAGAATTATCACAGATGATGTGTTATTGGGCACAGGAGGAATAAGCTGTTTTTAATGAACAAAACTTGATTTGTCAATCATTACATACCTTGGCAATTGACAAAAGATTGATAGGCTTGATGGAATTCGTCCAATTTCAACTGCAGTTGAAATTCTTTCTGAAATAATACTTTTACAATTTTTCCCTAAATATGGTGGAGGTTCTTTTATGTAATGCCATCACTTTTCGTTAGAATTCTTCATTCTGTCACAAGTTTTAAAAGCATGTCAATTTAACAGCACGTGTGTTGAAAGAGAACTCTAATTACAGTTAACATGGTGATAGTTTTGAAGAATAAATACCACAAAGTATTAACACTCTTCTCTATACTTCTCTCATAGATATTGTTAAAACATGATTATGAAAGTATCTCTATCTTCGGTGTAAATAGATGTTCTCATATTGTATTCATGTTGATCACTGTCTACAGATTTTTCTTTAGTATTGCCATTTCTTAGGAATGCAAACGTGAATGGCATGCCATTTTAGCTATTTTTTGTGGTCTGCTGAATACTGCATGAAAGGACATGCAAACTTTCCTGAGCATTTCAGTAGCTTTGTTATTGCTTTTTAACAGTTTTTTAAATGAACACTTTTGTTAAATTTGCATAATGAAATGGTTTTATTTTCCGTAACGTATTACTTTGTATTGTAAATCTAAAACTTTCTAAAATTATAATTTGTAGCACAATTAATTATCACCCTTAACATGCCTTTTTTTCTTATCTCTGTGGGGGTTTCTTTTGTGTTTTAGTGTTTGATCAATTAGATCTCGTCACATATGAAGAAGTAGTAAAACTGCCAGCATTCAAAAGGAAAACACTAGTCTTACTAGGTAATTTTGAGTTATTATTCTGAACATAACAGCTTAGTTTTGAACCCCTTCTGGTGGAAAATTTGTAATTCATTTTTGTGTTGTGGATTAGGTGCACATGGTGTTGGAAGAAGACACATAAAAAACACGCTCATCACAAAACACCCGGACAGATTTGCTTACCCCATTCCTCGTAAGTAGCAATGTTCAATGTAGTGCAAAATTGTTTGTAGCATCCTTGACAATATACCCAGTGTAGTACTACATGTGTTCAGTCCTGCTGAGACAAATCCTATCTTAAAGGTGCGAACTGTGATAGGACTAGGTATATTTCTTCTTTTGGTTCTTTCAGAGGGAGGGGTAGTAAGTAACACCACTTTTACTTCAAATGTTTCCTAGTATTCACAAAACTTCTTGTAAAGCATACTTCTCTCTACCCCAAATGTTTGTTAATTTAGAATAAAGGCTAAAACATTTTTCATTTTTTCTCTGCTAATTTTACATTTACAGTTCAGGTAAGACTGGAACAGCCATGACATAGAAAACTGTATAATTCCTATGAGAAGAAATATAAACTGGATTTAGAGGAAGCCTTTAGTGTGTACCTTATCTGAATGTTTTAAATTACTTTTCACAGCCTAGCCTTGAGGACTATAAAATAACTTCAACTTTCCAGAGATGACACTAAGAAAAAGAAAATGCAATTAACTTCACTGCTTACAAGTGGGTTGTTACAAAGAGCACAGGAGTGTTTTCCCTTCATGACAACCTTTACCAATATCGTGGCAGGAATTGCATATCCTACTACGTGATCTCTTGGAGATGCGCCCTTTTTCCTCAAGCTAGGCATTCTGAAACAAGAGCATCCAGCAGCTAAATCTGTTCACTCTATTTCAGGCTGACTTCAGAAACACCATACATGGCTCAGAAGTGACGCTGATGACCATTATGCATTAATTTAATTTACTTTATACCTTGCTAGTGCTTTACTTCAAAATTGCACTTAGGTGTTTTTCTACCTATAAGGATTTTGTGGTTGCTATAAAGCGTTATTTTTAAGAACTTACCTGTAAACTTATTTGGAAGGGGAAAAGGATTAGTTTGCTGCTGATTTAAGTTCCCCAGGCTTGCTCACTAAGGAGTTCAACAAAGACCAGTGCCAGCAGAAGGAAAACAGAAAGACGTAGCCCTTTTGAAAGCATGAACCATTAGATCACCCCAGCAGCCATGTGAAACTGCACTGTTTGTCACACTACTGTTTATACCTAGACACTGAAATCCTGGATTAGACCCTTTAAAAATGCGGTGCCAGGATTATGTGATGTACATTGTACCTATGTTATTCAATACAGACAAGACTATATGGGGGGAAGGGAGTAGTAACCCAGCTAATATGTTCTCCATTATGAAGAACTAAAACAAAGAGTAATAAATGTTTTACAGTATGCTTTTCACCCAGTCTCTCTCAAGTACTAACTGTATTGCTGTGGGGAGGTAGAAGCTTGAACTAGTTATTTTATCTTCAAATACCTATTAAAGTGGACTCCCCTATACCATGACGACCATGCCTTAGATTGTCTGCATTAGGTTCCTGCTCTGTGGAGGCACTGAAATAGCATCACTGATGAGATAAGACGACTAAAAAGACTAGACTGCAAATCAGGATGAAATTCAGGTGCTTAAGCATCAGTATGAAGTTTAGATGCCTGTTTTAGACATCACCTGACCTCCAGCCCCACTCCAGAAGAGCAATGGTCTCCTTTAACTCCTGCATTATATCTAGTAGTCCTATGTGAATGTTTCAGATTTAAGGCATTTAGGGCATTTAAAATAGCACTTAGTGCTGGTGTTTAGAGACCCAAATTAATTCCTTATGTTAGTGATATAAATAGATCATAAAATATAAAATATTTTTTTATTTATGTGATAAAATATATCACATACACTTTAAGTATTATGGGAACCTGGTCTGTCTTTCAGTTGACTCTAGGTAACTGAATTTATTCTCTCCAGCTGTCAGGGGTGGATTTTACTGCATTTTCTGCATTCTTTTACAAAACCGTGGTAGGAGTAGGTAGCTTTTGAGATATGCCTTAAGTTGGGTGTGGAGTTTTGGGGAATGCTTTATGAAGAAATTATCTACTTACTGAAAACCTGATCGTAAAGGTCACATCACACACAATGGCAGTTAATGAAAAGGATTAGTAGGCCATACATCTGTTACCACATAGGTCTGCAGAAGCAATATATTCGAAAAATATGTTACTGCTAAGTAGCTTTCATCTCTCTTGACCACAAGTAATCAGACCCTCGCCCACTTTTTAGACTTACACTTTCACACTCAGAAGAAGAAAACCTCATAAGAATTTAAGTAAAAAAGGAAAATACAGAAATGTTTTTACAAAAGAAGAGGATTTGGGGGAAATATAAGAGTAGGTAAGTTCAGTAGACCTAGGGCAGCAGTGACTAGTATAGTGATATTATATGGTTTATATAATCCATTTTTCTTGAATTCCTTAAAATAATAACTATGATCTATAATATTTCTATAGAACTTTTCAGCTTTGAAATATGCTAATTAATCCTCAGAACATTGCTAATTATTCCTCAGAACAGTAATAGGTATAATTAAAAATAGAAAATGAGTTCAATTTTTGGAGACCTTGTTTGAAATTATGATAGGGTTGTTGGAAGATATGGGATTAGATTGGGAAGAGATGTGGTGTTTCAGATATGTCACCAGCCTAAATGTGATAGTGAAAAAATAAGAGAGTAAATCAGTATGTGAGGGAATATTAGAAGAAAGATAAGCAAGTGGATATCAGCATGCCTGCGCGGAAAAGAGGAGCAGATGACCTACAGAATCACAGAATGGTTGAGATTCTTATCTCTGGAAGTCATCTGGTCCAATTCCTCTGCTCAAGCAGGGCCACCTAGAGCCAGTTGCCCAGGACCATGTCCAGGTGGCTTTTGAATATCTGCAAGGATGGAGACTCCACCAGCTCTCCAGGCAGCCTGTGCCAGTGAAAAAGTGTTTCCTTACATTCAGACGGAAGCTCCCATGTTTCAGTGTGTGCCCCTTACGTCTTGTCCTGTCATTGAGCACCACTGAAAAGAGCCTGGGTCCATCTTCTTTACAGCTTCACTTTAGATATTTGTACTCATTGATGAGATCCCTCCTGAGCCTTCTCTTCTCCAGGCTGAACAGTCCCAGCTCTCTCAGCCTTTCCTCATAGGAGATGCTCCAGTCCCTTAGTGCCCCTTCACTGGACTTTCTCCAGTATGTCCATGTCTCTCTTGTATTGGGGAGCCCAGAACTGGACGCAGCACTCCAGGTTTGGCCTCACCAGTGCTGAGGAGCAGAATCACCTCCCTCCACCTGCTGCCAATACTTTGTCTTATGCAGCCCAGGATACCTTTAGCCCTTGTTTGCCACAGGGGCACATTGCTGGCTCATGTTCAACCGAGTGTCTACCAGGACCCCCCACCGGGCCTCTTCTGGAGAGCTGCTTTCCAACTGGTCAGCCCTCAGCATGCACTGGTGCATGGGGTTGTTCCTCCCCAGGTGCAAGACTTGGCACTTCCCCTTGTTGAACTTCATGAGGTTCCTGTCAGCCTGTTTCTCCAACTTGTCAAGGTCCCTCTGGATGACAGCATGACACTCTGGCATATCAGCCGCTCCTCCCAGTTTTGTATCATTGGCATCCTTGCTGAGGGTACACTCTGCCCCATCATCCAGATCATTAATGAAGATGTTGAACAGGATTGGGCCCAGTACTGGCCCCTGGGGTAAAGTGGAGAAACTGAATTGTTTAGAAACTATAAAAACTGAGATCTGGCCTTTGCTGTTGAAAGCAGCTGATAGAGTCTTATAGTCTTGACCAGGCAAAGGTTATTTATGACCTTCTGTTCTTCCTCTGTTACCTTTTGATATTTACCTCATCCACATCCCCCAGACTCCTGCTTTTCCCAGCCCCTGTCATTCTGCCTACCCCAAGCTCATGCTTCACTGTTCTGTATGTGATTTGACAGGTCATCATTCAGTGAATAAGTATTAATAAACCAAACAGAAGCCATATATAAGCTTAATATTGCTTTTGTACTAAAAATATTTTGTATTTTCAGACACAACCCGACCTCCAAAGAAAGATGAAGAAAATGGGAAAAATTACTACTTTGTATCACATGACCAAATGATGCAGGATATATCAAACAATGAATATTTGGAATATGGCAGCCATGAGGATGCAATGTATGGGACAAAACTGGAAACAATACGAAAGATCCATGAGCAGGGACTAATTGCAATACTTGATGTAGAACCTCAGGTAACTAGAAGTACATGAAAATGGGACTCATCACAAATCCTTCAACCTTATTTTATTGAGATATATTTATTTTTATTGATTGCACACTACATAAGTAATGCATACAGTAATGTGGAATAAAAGTCCCTGGAACACCAAGGTATCAATCTGTGAAGTAGAATTGTGGTAATCATCTGGTTAGAAGAACACACAGCAGAAACAAATCCATAGTTTAGCTTGGTATGCAACCACTATAGCTTGAAAATCTACTTACCGTGTAACTTTTTAATAGATTAGTCTCATGTCCAGCGATATGTATCAAAACAAGTGATTGTCATTGCCTACCAGGAGTAATGTTTCGATATTTTCAAAGATTTCTCTTTGATGCTGTATTAGAGGGTAATCTTGTTCCTAGCTGACTCTTGTCTCCATATCGCTATTGAGCATGGTCAGAAACATTTGTGGTCAATCACCAATATCGATCCTGTTTGCACAATGACCAGATCAGTGTTGTTACTTTATAAACTCCTATCTATGTTGCGGTGTTATACTTTTTGGAAGAGGGTAGGAAGGAAAATCAGGCTCTCAAGAAACACTAATAGTTTGTTCGTTCATTATATAAAATGTTCAGTGGAAAATTCTCATACGTTTCCTTTGAAACATCCATGTAGTCATGACTTTCGTTTCACAGGGATGTGTTTATACGTTTTGTTAGGTGGAACAACATGAATATGGACAAATGTGATGTTTATATTATTCTAGCAGATTGAAGGAAATGGGAAGAAAGACAAATGAAAATTGTGCCCAGTGTTACCTATTTAAATTTGCTGCCGCCTTTCTTCTTTGTGAATGGATTCAAGAAGTTAAAATTCTTTAAGAACTTCATAAGAGAAATAAGATACCTGACTAAATTATTTAGGACAGTTCACATAGTATGCTGGTGTGGTGCTATTCTGAAAAATAAAATGCCACATTTAACAGTTTTCAGGGAGAGCAGCATTTATCATTAGTTCAAATGGAGCAGCTGTGAAAAGCAAACTCTCTTGGTAAACCTTTTCAACTTGCATTATTCAGAAGCCTTACAATTCTCAGAAGCCATTTTAATCTTTGTTAGAATATACTTACATTTGGTAACAGCCGCCTTTGCTACGCTTCCTCCAGCATGTCTCTACCAAGCCTCTTTCTTAGCCAGCTTCCTCATGCATCCACCTCAGCTCATCAAGGCCAGCCTGTCTGTGGACTTATTCCTAGTTATCTTACACCGCTTGCCTATTTTTCTTTGGGTACTCTTAGTTATCTGAGTTTTCTTGACTTTCACATATGGGTTTTATCTCTTGTTTAGAGGAGGTTGTCATAGATGATATATATAGGTGGGTTTCAAGCAGCAGAGATGAAAAGCTCTTTAGCTTGGCAAAAGGATGGATTGGGGTTTTTTGTTTGGTTCTATCTTGTCCATCCATTTGAGTTCATCTGAGGTACGTTTACTTGCTGTCCTGCACTTCAGTCTAACTTGGATCTGTACCAAAGTTTCACTTACAGCAGCTCTGTGTGTCACTCAGTAAATTATGATGAAGTCAACTTTTTAATGAGAACTCCTTTCTTCTGCATAGATTTGGTTCAGGGGTTTGGTGCTGCATTTACTGCATTACTGCTATGCTCACTTTTTAAAAACGTCACTATGCTTACTTTTTAGAAACTTCAAACCTCTCGCATCACAATTTCATTTGTTTCAGGAAATAATAATTAAAAAGTCTTGGTAGGTGGAAAAAGTCAGACAAAAATTATATTCTAATCAGTACGTACTCTAAAATACAGTTGGCTCTTTTCCCGATTTATGACATGACTGAATTTTTTTACCTGGTGTTAATCTTTCAGTTTAAATGTAAACAGAATTCTGCACTCTTTGAGACTGTATGGGAAGAGCCTCTCTGAAAATGCTAAAGCTTTCATTGTCTTGAAAACTCACTTTAATTAAGGATAAATATCTGGTTTGACCACCAAAAATGTAAAATAATGCAAAATGTTAAGTGTGCGTATTACTAAGGTCTTGACTCCACATCATTTAAAAACAAATACCAGCGTTGGTAAATCATGATTTTGTATGTTTTGCTTGTGAGACTAAACTTACTTCACATTGATTGTTGCGGGATTCTTATAAAGTATCTGATTTTTTTTTTTTTTTTCACCTAGGCATTGAAGGTCCTGAGAACTGCAGAGTTTGCTCCTTTTGTTGTTTTTATTGCTGCACCTACGATTACCCCAGGCATTAATGAGGTATGGCATGTTGCAATCTAATGTCCTATCAGAAAGAGAGTTCAGGATGAGATTCAAATATGCAGATAAGACTCTTTAATTGTTTCCTTGTCTGTAAGTGGAGAGGCAGACAGACAGTTGTATGACAGCATTATTAAGTTGATTGAGATGTATTTATTGTTTATTAACTGATTTTTCTAATTCAAAATATAAACTTCAAGTTGAAGGATCCGCATGATGTATTCTACAAATACATATTCTTTTATTTCATTCCCTGCCCTAGCTCAAAGATCCATTTCCAAATCCTTGACAAATCATTAGCACAAATAACTCAATTCTGAGTTGCAATGCTAGCACTAGATTACAGCTGCCCTGAACTGAAGAAATGGGTGTGCGTGACTGTGCTGTCATCCCACCTTTATCTTTTAGTATTTTTTCTATACAGCACATATGTATTGGAAATAGGCTTATTAATTTCAAAGGCTGTTCTGTAAGAACTGGAAGCTTTGACCAAAGGGGTAGTTGCTTTGGAATAATGTTAAGTATTCATGGAGGCCCACATCCTGAATTTCCTGCTTAGTTTTTATGGAGTATCTGCTCTGCAGATTGCTACTGATGTCAAAGATGATATCAAGCAATTCTGGATTTAGCTTACAACAGGGCAAACGGTATTTATGCCAACACTTTATCTGCTCAGCCTTTTTTAAACCATGATATTAAGGTATTTAATCAATTGGATTTGACCATTAATCTGTTCCAAATCTCCTAGATGTCTCCTTGATCACGCAAAAATAAAGTCAGAAAACCTGTCTCTGCATCCTGTTTCTATAGAAATGTAATTACAATATCATAAGTATGAAACTATGACATCAGTGCAGAGGCTTGCAGGAAAATAAGGAACAAGACCAACATATTTAAATGCAAATACCCTGAATGATTGTTAAAATAGCAAGTGGAGAGTGAAAAACATTGGCCTCGAGCTGCAATTTTACTGGCAGGTGAGGCATTCTACTAGTTCGCTGTTGCTGAAGGGAGTGATTCTCTCTAACTTGCTTCTGGGACATATATTGCCAGTCTGCACTGGCTATGGCACTTACCAGATCCTTTAGTGAGCTACTTTAGCTCTAAATTGGGTTTTTGTCAGTTTTCAAGCAGCTCACAAAGGCTCTGACAAACACCAGTGCCAGAACAAGCAGTGAAAGCGTATAGCCAGGAAGAGAGATGGGAGGGGGAAGAAGGATCTTTTAACTTTCACAGCAGTAAGTTATGTGATTTCACTGTGTCTTATGGACCCATACCCTAACTGTAAATGTCATGAGTGTACAGTTGAAGATCTCTCAGAACATCAGAATTTGCAATGTTAGTGAAGTGACAGTTTGTCTAACTGCTGGTGTTGGCGTATGCTGTAAAGCAGTACAATCTTGAGAAAATACTAAAATTTTGTATTCTACACTGAATTTGCTTTTGTGCAAGCAAATGGCATGGCATCACTCAAAAAATAGCTAGAATCGTTCTTAGGATGTGTCAGGCAAGCACTGTGCTTACAGCAGCGCTCAGGCAGCCCAGTACCCTGTGGAATTATGTCATTGCCTGGGTTTGTTGCCTCCATACCTGTGTCTCAGCTCCCAGATAGTCTTCCTTGGCCTCACTCATCTGCCAGTGGTACTTAACTTTTACTCTTCCAGCTGTAGGGTATAACACAGAGACATTTGGGACAGTTCATATGAGGGAGAAAATGTTTTCCATGGTACAGTGGAAAGAGGACAGAAATGTACCTTTTATAGTACTGGTGGGGAAATACTTGTTCATGCCAAAGAAATATTAGTAGAAGTATTATGTTCTAAATATTTCCATTCATGCTGTAAGACTGTGTCTTTGTTTTAAGCTCTTGTGACTGAAGTGCACGCGGAGTTTCACTCAGGCACGTGAATTGCTGAACTAAGCATGCTAATTTATGAATCAATTAAACTTAAGGAAAGGGAGGGGCAGGAAATGGTAATAGCAAGAGACCTTACCTGAATACAGGATCCTGTTTTCCAAGGTTTACTGGGCTGCGTGAAGGGAGATATGCAAATTATGTCTGTGTGTTAGCAGCCTGCAAGGCAGCAAACAAGGGTGAAGAGTGTGTGTTTCATATTTCCCATTCATGCTTCCTTTTTGAAAGGTTCATTTGCATAATGAGTATCCCTTTCTGTTTATCCTCTTATCCTGTTTTGTTTATTTTACTTATGCTTTTTGAGAACAGTTCTGTAAATGACTGTCCTTTTTTCCTCCCTTATGTTTTCTTAAATTTCATCTTTGCTTTTCTTTTCATTTTCCTGCACTCGTACTAATTGTACATAGCTGCCAAAATGGTGCAGAAAATTGCCTGTAAGTACCAGCTAGGGGCTGACAAGGTAGTCCTGGTTGTTTCAGTAGTTTTAGAATGTAGATATACTTGTTCCCATTCAACATGACTTTCGCCATTGGAATAAAAATTTAATGTAATAATGACTTCAGATATCTGTGCTAAAATTATCTGCTAGTAAAAAGAAACTAGAAAATAAAATTTTTACTCTTACAGACGTATATCTGAACTTTGTGGTAAAATCAGTGCAGAGGCCCAATCGTATAAGTATCTGTCTTGAGACACTTTAGCCTGTTATAGACCACACAAAATATCTCAATAATCAAGGACCACACAGCAAGAGTTAGGAGGCAAAATATTATGCTTTCCAACTGAATATAGCAGTGCACTGTGAGCAATTCTGCAAAGCACAAATCCAATTTAAATCATATAGGAAATCTCCCAGAGTGTACCCACCTGTCTGATCACAAAGGAAACTTAAATCAGATTGTTGCTGTGCTAAAACAAAGAAAGGAGAGAGCTTATCAGGAAACACTGGAGTAGTTCCTCTTTCCTCCAGCTGTTTTCTACCTCCCATTGCCCAGACAGTAGCAAAGAGGAGTTAACAGGCTCCACTTCTTTGATCTAAATCTTTATTGAGCCATGTGTAAATCTTAATTGAGCCAAATTCTTCTGAATTTTAGCTATGCTTCCTCACTTACTACAGCCAACGAATAAGGAATTTTTCTTAAGAAGTTTGCAGTCCACCAGCTGTTTAAATTGAGGAGAATTTCTTTCTGTTGGAGCAAAATTGGCAAAGGCCTAATGGTGTGTTTATACATTGTTCACAGCCTTAGAAGGGAGTATTAATAATTTGCTAGGCTGTGCTTTAACTGCCACAAGTGGCAGCTATTGTCCTATGTACTTTAAGGCCAAAAAAAACCAGCCCTCAGAAACTGAAGATCTCACTGGTGGTCATTATGCACGTGGGAGAGATTTCATGGATAAAAGCCATGGTTCACTCCTTTCTGTCCCAGCTATGGTGGAGAAGGAGAGAAGATTAGGAAAGTGAATGGAATTCTAGTGATAGGAAAGAAAAGTCTGTTCCAATAATGGACACACTGCAATTAGACCCACATAAAGTGCCTGTTGCATGAGAGCTGAGGGAAGAAGACAAGACAGATGTTCTGCTCCCAGACGTGAAATTACTGAAGTTGTGGCCATTCATTTGTCTGTCTGCAGCTAGCTGAACATTTTGCTAAGTATCTTCTTTCTTGACACTATTGAGAGCACAGCTGCTGGAGAATATTCTTGGAGAATAATCTGGGATGTTCACTATTCAAAATTTAATTAAGAAATTTTAGAGAAATTGAGAGGAACTTACTACAGCAAAAATTTTGAGGAAGCATTAGCTTCGAAGATGAATTTTGGCCTTTAAGACTTACAGACGCAAGAGGAAACACTGACGTGGTTTTGAATGTACAAATAATACTCTATCACAAACACAGGTGAAATTTGGTCCCAGAATAAAACAAAAATCAAGAACTGTAATCTCTTTTCTTTTTGCAGAACTTGAGAAAGTTTGAACCTATTTGAAAACTGCTGCAATGGCCTATCCCAAACTTATTACTGCCCCTAAAAGTATATTAAAGAAGTAATGTTTTACATTTCCAACAGACTAGGAAATTTAGATATTCCAAAATACAACTCACCTTGATCCCAGTCAAGTTGGATGTAGTAGAAGCTAAGTCAGAAAAATATTAAAATTTAATGAATTTTTGAAACTCTTAGTTTTGTGACATCTATGTGTGCAAGGTAAATATTAGTATTCATTCTTCTCTACCTACCAGTTGTTTTTTTTTTAAGATGAGATAGCTGTAAGTTTTTCAGATTTTTATTGTCTGTCACAGTAAGATAGACACTTTAGTGAGAAAAGTTCATTCTCCTACTTGTGGGTAAAGATGACACTGATGGAAAATCTGAATAGCAGTTAAAAAGCTACATATGACTTAACAGTTCTAAGGCTTCATGGGTTTTTTTCAGGTACTGTTAGCCTTGTGCCATGAGATTGAAACTCTTTTAAAGGTGAAATATGCTTTTGCTAAGACTGGCTTTAAATACAAAATTAATCTTAAAGCACTGAAAATATTCTGCTTGATAAGTATGATTTTTTTTTTTCCTTAGTAGGTTAATTCAAGCAGAAAAGTTTAGATCCTCTGCTGATATAAATTGATATCTCTTTTGGAATCCATGAGAAGTTCCACAAAAATATTTCATATCGGTATTGATCCATAATGTCCAATTTGTTAACAGCATAAATTAAAATTGCATGCACTGGTATCTTTTACGGAAGTTCCAGGCATCGCTGGTGATGCATAATAGTCCATACAAGGAGCATCCCTTGTACAGAAGCACATGTGAGGAGTATTTGCCTGACTCTGAATGAAATTTGTAATGATAATCAAGTGAAGGCAACATCCCCCCCTCATGTGAGGCTGCAGTTTCAGGAAAGAAGCAGAACTGTAACTTTGGTACAGAACTTCTCCAGAAGTGGCTGGTTTCGTAGCTACGGGGAAGGAGAACTGTCTTAGCACAGGTTTTTCCCTTCAGAGGGCCTGAAGGCCACCGTTTTACGGCTACTTGTCACTGTAATTACAAATACTTGGAAGTTTAAACAGAAAAAAGGGGAGGGGGGGAGTCTCTTATTGGCTGGATACAATTCTGTTCCCAGAATAATTTCTTGTGCCAACAGCTATAGGCACCGTGTCTGTACTTCCTGCAGCCTAAAACTCTGTTATAATAAAGAGTATCCCAGTTGATTGATCAAGTAGGGTGACTCTACAGATACTACAGAGCAGCAGGAGCCTATACTGCTCATATGTAATTTTGCCCCATATCCACCCCAAACCTGTGGGGCAGGTTTAATTTCTAAGGGAATTTGCAGGAAGGGAATTCAAACTTATAGTTGCTGCAGAGGCCTGGCAAGAAGCCTTTTGCAGTCCCGCTCTCTCAGAAAGGCAGACCTCGCTAACAAAGCCGCGTTGCTGGCTGCACAGTCTCCAGTAGTGCACCCGCAAAGTCGGATGCACTAGTTTCTGTAAGCAGATTGACACAAAGCCATGGAGAGGACCCATCTGCTGTCACTGGCCCTTCTCGAGTGTGGGCTGCATGGTTCGTCTTCAGGATCTCACACTAAGAGATGCTGGAAATGGCATGCTCTGAAATAGGAACCGCAGAGTAATGCGGAGTGAGAACTTCCTTATCGGTAAATGATTATTAAAGGAAGCAGACCCAGAAGACTGATGTTGAACAGAAAACATTACGAAAACCGGGAACAGCTGATACCTGACAATATACCCTCTCCTGTTTCTCTCATTCTTACCTGGACATAGGCCCAATAGCTCATATTTGTGCATTTTGTACATTTTATTCATATATGGTCTCTGTTGCTCATGTCTGTGCTGCTTTTCTAAGCTTCCATCCTCTACCTTGCTTTTTTTAACACTAGACTTGTGTTTTGTGTCAAGTAACGTCCATAACTGAGTGCCGTTTGAATGTCAGCTTCAAGAGAGAAATTGTGCCATTTCTCCCGTGTGATTTCCGTAGATTTAGGTGGGGGATCTAAACCACCTAGGCCTCCCTAAGGCTTTTTTACCCGTTTCCTTCTCTGTAAGCAACAGTTAGAAAGCTGTTGTAGAAGAGTACAAAAGGATCCAACTTCTCTCTCTCCCATTTTCTTTTCTGACTGCCGAACAGGATGAATCTCTTCAGCGCCTGCAGAAGGAGTCTGAAATCTTACAGAGAACATATGCACACTACTTTGACCTAACAATTATCAACAATGAAATTGATGAAACTATCAGGCACCTGGAGGAAGCCATCGAGCTTGTGTGTACAGCCTCACAGTGGGTCCCGGTCTCCTGGGTCTATTAGACCGGTCACGAGAGAATTGAAAACAAATCTGTCATTACTGGGAACCACCTCATACATGGAAAACCTCTTTGTTACTGACCTTGTGTCAACAGGTCTTGGCCCCTAGAGACTACCTAGATGTAGTGTGACCTAAAATATAATTATTGTCATGTCCGAATAGATAGGAGGAGGGGGAAAAAAAATTAAACACTAATTTAAAGAGACAGTATCTTTTTTTTAATCATTTCTCCTAAACTTTAATAAAATGTATCTTTAAATGTATGTATTATTCAGTCCTTTGGAATGTTATATTTTTGGAAATCATAGCTTTTTATTTCAAGGGCCCCTAAAAACTGCACAAAATAGATGCTGCTTTCTATAATCTATTTTAATAGTAATAATAATATGATTCTGTTACCTTAACTTGGGGGTGGAACACTACATTCTTTTTAGAGTCTGATTTTATGGATTGGAATACTTTGCTTTCCTTTATTTATTTGAAGTAATTAGTCTAGTGGTTACGAAACAAATTCATAAATTTTAAAGGCCTTTTTTTGCTTTTTTTTTTCCTAGGATAGTATTTTTAAGTACTTTTGTGTAACATCCAGATAATGTGATACTGTCTCTTTGAAGAACTCTGTAAAAATTTTAGAAATTTGAAATTGGGTCTTGACTCTTAATGCATGTGGACAGTCGCAAGCGTTCATGCCGTTGGTGTATCTGTGTTGATAAAACCTGTAATCTACAGCAAAGTACATTCCGTTCATGGGAACACGTACCCAAGGGAATAAAGTAAAATATTATTCTGACTAAGTTGTAAACCTATGCACATCCCTTGCATTTTGGGCAACTTTATAAAAAAACCCTGATTTTTATTAATAATAATCATGTAGTGAAATGTGTTTGTAATTTTGTCTCAATTTAATTTGTTGTAAGGTGGGAGGGGGCAATTACTGGTTTCACCATTTCAGATCTGTGTTGTCTGAGAGTATTAACGTTTTAATTAAGTTGAAGCAAAGAAATGCTGATTTTTAATATGTATGTAATTGTTTAAAAATGCACACATTTTAAAAGAAAATACTGTGCAATGAAGAAACCAGTTTAGGCATTGCGATAAACTGACTATTCCAAAAGACTCATCTACAACAGCCCTGTAAATTCCTTTAAAAATGGTAATTGACTCTACAGTCTGACCAATTTTTTTTATTTTAAATATACTTCCTTTTATGTGTTCAACAATTAAATGCTTTTGGGTCCTTCATTTCATCGCAGGGAGTTTCAAGAACATATCAGTGACTTGTGCAGTGAGAAAAGGTTTCTTGAAGTCTGTTAAGGGAAGGCCCTTGTAGGGGCACGGCCTGTAGGCTGTTCCAGCGGCTCTGCTCTGTCTGTATGGGCACAAGTTCAACTGATTTAGGATTAGAGCAGAGCCAAGTAAGAAAATTTAACCATGTGCTGACCTGGTGTTTTGTTTCCCTTCTTCATGCGCTCACTGGCCAAGATGGTTTGCATTTTTTTCTGAAAATGATTAATGGAAGCAAGCATTGCCACCTCTTTTTAGGTGTCAGAAATACGGTGTTCCGTAAAATGATTTATCTTCAAAGCTTGGTTGGCTGTGCTGTTGTACAGTATGAAGTTTAGTGTTTATATGAAAATGGTACAGTGTTCTCAAAGGATCTTTCCTCAAAGCTGAACTATCAGCCGTAATTGATCTGTGGGCTGTTCCAGTTGTTTGGTACCGCTGCACACGTAATCAGAAAAGGTTCTCACAGCTGAACCTTTATCATAGGGGTAATTATCATAAAGTGCATAGGTTGCTAATTTTGTCCTGCCTACTCCTACTGCAGGTCAGGTGGTCAAATCCCTATTCTTGGAAAATCCTTAGGCGAAATCTAGGTCCAGCTAGGCATCCCAGCCAGCCAGGTCAGGCAAGGTCTTTATGCTGTGCAGCATTCACAGCACAGCTTGCAGCCTGCAGCGCAGAAGGGAACTTGATCCATCGCTTCACCCCACCTGCTGACCCCATTTATGCTACAGCTGGAATCACAGTGCTGTGACTACATCCCAAAACAAGTACTGTCACCCAGTCCCTTGAGTTGGTGGCTTGTGGAATGCTGGCAACCAACCGATGAGAAACTGTCTGTGGGGTCCTCGCATAAGCAAGCTAGCGAGTAAGAGGGAACCTATCGGAGTAATAGTAGCTGCTCATCTGTTCTGAATTTAGCCCCTGTAAAAGGGGATAGGTGCAAACTGTGAACTATTTAGTGAGTAAGAGGTAATTTTTCAAGTAGCCGTGCCGTGTCATTTTAGTTCTGGATGAACCTTAGCAGGTGTTCCTGTAGATCAGCGGTTGCAATGGTAGTATTACACACTAGCTGAGCTCATCGAAGTGGCGGGTTCATTCACTCTCAAAACTACCTCTTTTCCCAGTAAAGCACAAAGATGGGAAGACCAACTGAAAAGCAAGCAGTGGAGTGTTTCTGATGTTAGAAATACAAACTTCTTCTCTGGTAAGCGTTGGTATCTGACTTCAGTGACACATTCTTCATCTCAAATGTTTATGACAGTAAACAGGTAAAGCAATTTTGATAATTTGGGTATAGTCCACCATAAATGTTTTGACTACACACTTTTGACTTTGTTAATGTGAATTTCTTGGAGTATCTGTGTATACAGCCTGTAAGGAAAGAAAACTCATAAGGCCCATGAGGGTGCTTCTGTCTTATGTAGAAGACAATAAGTAGTGATTTAATGTAACTAATACACTTTTTTTCTCTTAAGTGGAACTACCATTCAGTTAATATTACACAGTAGAAAGACTAACTTGGAGAGCTTTGTTTCTTTTATTCTCACTGTATAGCCTTTTATCAAGAGTCCTAAACTGTAAAGCACATCAGTTAGCATTCTCTCCTGCCTCCTCTTTACCACAGACTGTTTTCCTTGTAGGAGCCTTCAGTAGCAAAAGATTAACTTGGAACCCCCCTAGGCTTTAAGTACAGCTGA